TCAATTCATATCTAAAAAACAATTCAGAAAATAGAACAATTAGAAAGAAATAATTTTCTCAACTCGTAGTCTGTAATTACAGTATTATTGTATGACATAACCAATTACTCGAAGTATTATTTTTAAAATAAGGTAAAAAACAATCACAGTTTTTAAGCATACGGTTTTAAACCTTTCAGCACAAGAACATGCACGTCTGTTGTCTGAAGCTCAGTGATCCCGCAAGGAGACAGGACAGGAAAGACATCCAGAAGGCACAGGGCCAGCAGTCACTGTCCCCCACTGGGCCGGGCGGCACCCCCTCACACCTCCCCTCAACGGCTGCCCTGATGTGCACGGACTCACACAGAATGCATTCTTCTATGTCTAGTTTTTTCTCACTCGCGGCAAATGCTTGCGATGTGGAGCCCAGCTAGCAGCTGAAGGTCGGTCACGGCTGCCCTGTGTGACAGCCCATATCACCGCGAAAGGCCATCAGATTTATTACTACTTTGTGGCCCTGATGAGGAAACGGCTATAAACACTCTTTTTTTTTCCTCCTCTAAACATAAAATGATGGGGCACCTGGGTGGCTCAGTCGGTTAAGCATCCGACTTCAACTCAGGTCATGATCTCGCAGTTCATGAGTTCGAGCCCCACGTCAGGCTCTGTGCTGACAGCTCAGAGCCTGGAGCCTGCTTCAGATTCTGTGTCTCCCTCTCTCTCTGCCCCTCCCCCATTCATGCCCTGTCTCTCTCTCTCTCGATAATAAATAAACATTAAAAAAATTTAAACATAAAATGATTTAGTCGCTCAGGAAGCCAAGCTTCAAGAATGGTCGAAACAAACGAACTTCACCAGAATGCTCTCTCACTCGTGTCTTCTGGTGAACATAGGGACACACCTCTGCTGGGAAAGGGGGGGGGGGGGAACCAGGAACAGAGTCCCTCGATCACAACACACACACATCTGTATCCACAGATGCTGCCCGTCAGGGAGCTGAAGAAGCCACACCGTCCTACCAGCAGCATGGGGCACTCTGTTTCCCCACACCCTCACCTCTGCCTGGTACCTGCATTTTAGTCCGGGACACTGCGGGAGGGAGGTACAGTGTGGACCGGACTGGCACATCCCGATGGATGATGAGATGGGGCACACCCTCATCTGATGATGGGCCATTCTGGAGACCTTTTGTGAAACGTCTGTTTTGTCTAAAGGGTTGTGGGCCTCCCTTCCCCGACCCCCAGCTGACCTGTGGGCATTCTTCAGGTATTCAGAGTGGGAGACCACTGTTAGACCGCCCAGTATGTTCTGCCACTCCACAGCTGCCTTTCACTCTCCTGACAGTTATCTTTTAAAAATTACCTTTTTAATATTTATTTATTTATTTATTTATTTATTTATTTATTTTGAGAAAGCATGCACGCAGGGGACGGGCAAAGAGAGAGGGGGAGGGAGTGAGGGAGGGAGAGAGAGAGAAAGAGAGAGAGATAATCCCAAGCAGGATCCGTGCCATCAGTGCAGAGCCCAACGTGGGTGGGGCCTGATCTCAGGAACCGTGAGATCATGACCTGAGCCAAAATCAAGAGTCAACGCTTAACCGACTGAGCCACCCAGGCGCACCTAAAAATTATTTTTAAAATATTTTCATTTTAATGCTATCTTTTGAGGAACAAAGTTCATAATTTTTATGCAGCCCTATTTATTCTTTTCCTTTTTAGCAAATTCTTTAAGTGTTTTGTTTATAAGATATTTGCCTACCCAAAGGTTATAGAAAGATCTGGGTTTTTTTCCCTAAAGTTTTAGTAATCGATCTTTAAAAAATGTAACAGGCTCACAAGGAAAACACACAAAGTAATCAATACAATGTTTTTGGTTCAGTTAAGGGTGGAAAAAATGCATGATACACATACACAAGTTCTGCTAAAAGTTTTAAGTGTCCATCTTATTAAAATACACAATCGCCAAACGATCAGGTTCACGTTGACTTCTACTCTCGGAAAGAGGTCAATCATTTACTACAGATATTCTACAAGGGGCAACTGTTTGTGGAAACGCAATAGATTCCATTTATTTTTAACTTGGGACTTAGCAGGTGCTTTACATGTGCTATTTCTCTTAATGCACACGACAGTCGGAGAACAGAAGTGTCATGATCTAGGCAGGTGACGCTCCGTGAGAGGAAGCAACGGGCTCCGAGCCAGTGCACTTGGACTCAAACAGGACACCGGAGGCTTCTGCTGTTAGTGCCTCCCATTCTAACAGAGAGAAAACGGACCCCAGGTCAAACGCTGGGCAGCCTGGCTGCACGTTCATGCTGTTAACGTCCAGCATCCCGATGCTGATGCTGACGATGCCTCAACGGACAAGAGCCACTCAGGATCTGACAGAAATTGCGATAAGCATTTGACCCACGGGCTTCTTTCAGTCAGCACCAGCCCTGAGAGGAGCAGAGAGAACGTGGGCCCTGCACTGGGGCTGCCTGGGCTGGGCGTCTGGCTCCGTGGCCCACCGACACCCCGGTGTCCTCACCAGCCCTCAGAAAGTTTATATGCAATATATGCTCAAATTCATACAGCAAATACACAGGTATCTACAAGATGGCAGTAAAAGTGACACAGACAAATAGGCACGGTGAGGGGAATGACATGTGATAAAGTATTATTTTGCAAAGGGTGACCAGCAAAGGACACTCAGATTCAAAGACATCTTAATGAAGATCTGAAGGGAGGAAGGGAGTCATGCAATCACGTGCAGGGACAGGAGTTCTAATATGATGGAAGGGGGTGCACGAAGGCCCTGAGGCTGGAGGATGTGTGGGAAGGCAGACGCAGCTGGGCCCGCTGGGCGCAAGCCGTGAGTAGAAGGGCAGGACCGGGAGGTGGCAGATCACGGAGGACCCTGCACGGCGTGCTTGTGGGGCTCGGAGCACCATGAGCACAGCAGTTGAGTCACAGGACATCTATTTCTCTGACCAGGCAGGCGACAGTGTGTAGGACTGGCCAGGGGACCTGGGGGAAGAAGCAGGAGGCCTGGAGGCGAGTACAGCACTCTGGCTGAAAAGGAGGGGCCTTCTGTTTTCACCGGTGGGGAAAGAGTTTCAGGGACTCGGGTAACGGGCCGAGGTCCCAAGGCTATGAAGAAGCAGACGGGGATCCCTCTACAGCAGTCCATGCAGGAATGCCCCAAAGCAGAACGAAACTGCTAGAAGGCACTGGCGGCTCCGAAACCAGAGAGACGCCCACTGCTCTTACTCTGTCGAGGCCAGCAAGCTCATCAGGTTGCCAAGCGGATTCTGACCACTGCTTTACTGCGCCCACCCAGCACACCCGCCCCACGGCCCTGACGATGCGCGGCCCAGCACACCCGCCCCACGGCCCTGCTGACGACCCACAGCCCAGCACACCTAGCCCAAGGTCCTGACTACGTGCGGCCCAGCATGCCTGCCCCACGGCCCTGACCACGCGCAGGCCAGCACACCTGCCCCACGGCCCTGCTGAGACTGCCCAAGGTCTCCTGATGTAATGGCATCCCTTCACTCCGCCTCTGTCCTTAAACCACAGGGCCCAACACCCACAGCCGACTGGCCCACGAGTTCCGACATCCCTACTCCCATCTCTTCTGTGAAACTCACCTCTTTCCCGACCCTCCTGCCACTACTCTAAGAGACTGGCTGCATCCCGAGACACATCTCCATTATTCTGCTATATGCCACTCCATGGACTTCCGAAGAGCAGCTAAATATAACATGCCCCAAATAAAATCATCTTTTTTCCGCTTCTCCTAAGTAACAATTTCCTATGAAGGTCACTGACACTAACCTCCCCTCAGTCTTACCACCAACAATGAGCACCAAGATACCCACAAGCTAACCAAGTAATGGTGAGGAGGAGTGGGAAGTGTTTGGAGAAAGAATCTATTAAGCTTGATACTGAGAAAGGTTAGCCTGTCTGTGTGTAGTGACACAAAGTACAATTTCCAGAAACAACACAGATATCGTAAGCTCTTTCTTACAACACACTTCCGATTTAAAAATCCTCAAAGGGGGGGCACCTGGGTGGCTCAGTTGGTTGAGCGTCTGACTTCGGCTCAGGTCATGATCTTGCAATTGACAAGTTTGAGCCCCGCATCGGGCTCTGTGCTGACAGCTCAGAGCCTGGAGCCTGCTTCGGATTCTGGGTCTCCCTCTCTCCCTCCCCTCTTCCACTTGTGCGCTCTCTCTCTCTCTCAAAAATAAATGAACATTAAAAACAATGCTTAAAAAAATTCTCAAAGAAAGTACAGGAATAGAAATTCATCCTTAGACAAAAATTATAGCAGTAATAGCTGTGAGAAAGAATCATCAGTGATATCGAGAATACAGGGTAAAAATACAATGAGAAACAGTATCCGCAGAGTCTCAATCTATCTCCCCAGAAGAGTATTTCTTAATTTCAGAGGAAAAAACAGCAACTTTACAGTGGGGAAACCTGGCCACCACCTTAAACCAAACGATCCCAGTTAAAAGCACCTGTAAAAAGGAGTCACATGCTGACAGGATGCAGTGAGACGGGTACAAAAGCTTAGAATTCTGGCCCAAAACACATAACCTCAATATAACCATGCCCTAGATGAACCTCAATTGAAGGACACGGTACAAATAACCAGCCAGGATTCTTCAAAAGTGTCAGGGTCAGGAAGGACATAGAGAGACTGAGGAACTGTCCCAGATTAGAGGAGATTCGAGGAGTCAGAACAGCAAAGTGGTTCCTGGACCAGAAAAGGGATGTTATGTGGGACAACCGTGAAATCTGAGTGACATGTGTAGATTAGTTAAGTAAGACTCTATCAATGTTTATTTTCTGGCCTCAGTGCCAACTACTGTAGTATGGTCACGAAAGTTCCAACATTTAGGGAAGCTAGGTGAAGGCACACAGGCCTTAACTATTCTTGCAACTTTGGATACGTATGGAGAATAAAAGAAATTCCACAGGCGCAGACTAACTGTTCCGTAACCACGGTGATAACCCACCAGAACCTCTCTCCAAGCAGCCTGGCCAGTGTCAGCTGGCAGCCGCAGACCCACTGGAAACTATCTTCCAGCTGCCCGTGTTCGGTGCAGAAGCATCCGGTAAGTGTCTAATTAACAGAGCAGCAAATTGGAAGTGCATCCGTGTTTTAAAGGTGTCACTTCCAAACCTGTCAGAGTGCTCCTCTACTTAATGTCTTTCTGCTTTAAACCCTCCTAAGAACTCTTGCTGAATGCAGGATTACAACAAAAGACTGGCTTCTTAAAAGAAGGCGTATGCAGGGGCGGTGTCATTTCAAGACAACATAGAAAACTACCAAGTACAATCTAAAGCTTCCTAAACTATCATTATTCATTTTCATTGGTCTTCTTTGGAAAATGACACCTCTCCTCTCTCCCGCAGAGTGAGGGGCTTGCGCAGCAGCGAACAGGGCAGCGCTAAGCAGGCTGCTAAGCAGGAGGGCGGCAACCGCGGCTCACTAACAATGACGAGAATGTTCCTTCTCACTCACTTGACAAAGCCCCAGATACTTCCTCAAATGCCAAGAGGGCCGTCTCTTAGACTTGGGTTCAACATCAGAAGGATTGGGCCGTCCCACCCCCCCCCCCCGCCCCCGGTGCCCTGACAGGCTATTCATATCCGCTTAGCCCACTCGGATGCCCAACAGCCACCCTACATAGGTGGCTCCAGATAAGTGACGTTTAGTTACCAAAATGTGATTAACCAGAATGATCTAGGAACAAAACTTTCAAGCTGAAATCTCTCAAAACTGCAGGACACTGTTTGCCGCAGTATATGCTAGTACGACATTGTCACGGAAGCGTTTTTTGGCAGACTCCAGATCCTAACAAATACTACCTGCTCCACTGGGACCTCCAGCAACAGGGACCTCCAGGCCTCCTAGGGACAGGGGAGCCAGCTCCTGCTTCCTCCTGGACAGACTGGGCAGGAAGCAAGGCAGGTAGGAACCCGAGTCTTCTAAGGGGCCGACTTTTCGAGCCCTGCCT